GGGAAGTGTGTGTAACGGAGCTGAGACACTTGTCATGGATAGCAGGGCTTCGTGCAAGCAGTAAATGCAGCGCCCCGCCGAGCCTTTGCCGGCGCTGGTGACAGCTCCAGACACAGAACTCCAAATTCCCGGGAATGGTCCCTCCCAGGTGCCCCCGGCCGGGAAGGGCTTGTGGCAATGCTGCTTGACAAGAGCCACATTTGGGCTGGGAAAAGCTCTGGAAGTGTAACAGTGGAAGCAATTTCAGTGCCGAAGATTGTTCCTGAGCGCGTTTGGAATGTATGGCTGTAGATAAATAGGTACAGACGTGCAAGAAACAGCACTTGGTTTTGACTTTGTGGTTAAATCTTTTAAAATTTTTAGGAAATTTTCATTTGGCTAATCAAGCATTATCTCAAAAATTATGAAGAACCAGGGTGAAATTCTGTTATTTGTCCCACAGTATGTTAAGTGACACAATGCAAAGAAACAAAATACTACTTTGAAAAAGAAATCTGTACTACTTATGCTGGGGGAAGCAGTGTTTCTAGGTACCATTTTCCTAACCCATTCAGGGTTAATAAAATGCTTCAGATACCATCTGACACAGTACTTCTGACTGCCTCTGTACAGATACCACAAACCTTCCCCATCTTGCCTGCTCTAAGAGGAGGAAAGCTCAGCTCTGGGCACAGGATCAGGAGGAAGAGGTTGATAAGATGGGAACTGCGGATGTTTCTGATCAACAGGAAGAGGTTGAGAATGGTGAGAACTGAGGGTGCTTCTGCTCAGGATGAACTTCTCCTGCACCTGCCAAGGTCCTGTTACTCAGAGGTGATTCCTGAGAGCTGTCAGAAGCGTTGCTCCCTTTCCCCTGAAGCGTTATCAGTCACATGCAGATTTTAGGTGACAAAATCCACCGTGACTCTTAAAGGACACTGGGGATTGTTGGTAGTTCCTGGGCTGGTTCAGATGCTGAAGTGTGAGAAGGCTCTGAGAGTTAGCTTCTCCAACTCCAAAACATGGACCAGTTTCAGAAAAATCCACTGCATTTTAAATGTATAACTTTTGGGAGGTATTTTATATAGGCAATTTCTTACTCCCTTGGCATTTCAGCATGAAATTGCACTGACTGCCCGAAATCGTTTGCGCTGCCAGTTTGTCAGCTCTGTGCTTAAACAGCAACTTAGTCCTGCAGTTGAGCTTGTCCAGTTTCTGTCACAAGGACTGTAATTGCATAAAAATAGTAAACTCCCAAAGCATGATATATTGCATACAACTAAAAATGAAAGGGACACTGTTGTTAACACAAAGGTTAAAATATAAACCTAAATGCCAAGAAACCAGATGCTTCCTAATTTCACAATGATGCCTTGACCTCATATGGAACTGTAGATCTCCTACTGAAATTGTTACTGTTGCTTTGGTGCCTGTACTATTTTAGTGCCCACATAGCCTGTGTAAGAAGGATCTTGTAGCTGCAAAGCATGCACATCCTTTCACCAGAGGATTTACATTGGAGTCAAATTAGTTTCCATGGAATAGAAAATCTAACCTTACATGAAACTAGCTACTTCTTTTCTTTAGTTTTGTTTCTCCCATTTAATTAATGCATATTCAAAAGATTCATCTAGTTCCTGCATTTTTAAATTTCAGATAGAGCTCTGTCAAGTTGTAAAAGAAAAAAAGTAAAGCACCAAGCTGTGCAAATGAAAATTAAAATTAAGCTTCCATTCCATTTTACAGCTAGATCTAACTGATCTCATATGCTGGAATTTATCTCAAAGATGCTTTACCAGATTTCACTAACCCATTATACATCCTAGAAATTTGAATCCTTGCTAGACATAGAATTACAGCTTAAGATAAACTGATTATCCCCATAACATGTCTCCTACTTAACAAAATAGGAGTGTCTCATATGTAAATGTAATCTAAAATTTAGCATCCAGCGAAGGTCATTAGAGAGATGCAACTCTAAATTAAGAAATCTTATTAACCAGCTAAAAATGCAATAAAATAAAACAAATATTGGTGTTCTAACAGTAGAAGCTGAATATGTAAATATTCACCACTAAACTTTAATAAAACACTAGTTTTTAAACGGTTTTAACAATTTTATTACAATGAGATGATTTAGAAATGAACTACTATAACAAGGAATGCTCACAATATCCCTGTAGTTTAGGTAGTATTATCTTCAGCTTCCAGATGGAGAAAATAAGACCTTTTTCATAGTGCTTGTGTGTCCAGTTTCAAGCAACAATGGAATAGAAAGGCCAAGGCTGAAAGAAGAAAGTTCTATATAAATTATGTCCTTGTCATCAGTATATCAGATAAATAAATAGTTGCCTGCTAATTCCAAGGTGCCACAGAGCCTCTGAGTGGATTATGTAGGTGAAGGTCTCAAGATGAAAATCTGGTTCTTTGAAATCCAGATTCCAGATTTCACCCTAAGTATGGGAGCTTTGTATTTCACACTAAGCAGTTATTTTAGATCAGCATCCCTCCTAAAGAGGTGCCTGGAAAAGGACCAAATGGCCCTTTTAAAACTTGTCGAGAACTCCATTGAAACCAGTAGTAATGCACAGTCTGAATTATGCAGTTCCAACTGGTTTTCTGAGGAAATAAGGTTTCCATGTTCATTACTGTGCAACATCAACCAAATTACACACATCTCAGAGAAAAGGAGATTCCAGGAACCACCAGCTGAGGAGGTGCTGCACTGTCAGCTCACGCATGGGAGAGACTCCACCCCACAGGAAAAAAGATTCAGCTGGTGCCAGCATTCACAGATCTAGCTTGCTGCTTCTAGAGTAACATTTCTACTTTCTAAAACAACAACATGTGGTAGCAATGATATAAATGAGAAATCTGTTTGTGCACACCTGATGTGTGTATAACCACATGCCAGCACTGGGGCTGAACACAACACTGTGAAGCCAACACTTCTATAACTGTGAACTAGGATGACAATCTTGGTATGAGCAAAAAAACATGATCTTGAAAGGTTTTTCTTTCAATTGTATATAGAAGTATTTCTTCTGAAGTAAAGAAAAAGTTATATCAGCAAGACACACTGTCATGATCAGCTGATTACAGAAGTGCTTGGAAAGAACTGCCCTGTTACAGGCTGATCCAGCCCCAGAGCAGGAGGGCACAGGAGCTAAGCATTAGAACAGCCCTGCTCAGGAAAAAGACCTTCAGAATTGCTGAAACCTTCCCACAGTAAACATTAACAATTGAAATTGCCTTTGGCTAAACTGCTGCTTAGTGCTGTGTTAGCTTTTTGTAGAGTCATCGTGTTCACTGTTTATTTACAATCTACTATCTTTTTAAAGCAATGATACAGTATTGCCTTTAATGAATATGCTGAAATCCAGCTGCCAGCAATTTCCTTGATCTCAGCCAAGCAAGCAGAATTCAAACGCCTAAAAACATGGGCTCAAGAAACAACACATTATTTTGTAGAGGAGTGGGCTGGGGGGCTTTTTGGGAATAAAGCTATTTTGAGAATACAAATCAAACTTTTCAGACATTATGTTGTCTGATTTTCATGCCAGCTGTTCACTGGCCTCTAGCTGATTATTTTATCAGTATTACCTAGAAATTACCCTTCAGCTAATTAAATTGCAATAGCTTTTCTTTCCCATGGTTAACCACTGGGCAGCAACTGCAAAGGCCTGCAGGCCACTGACACTGGTCTTTTGTGCTCTCAAGCTGCAAGGAAGACTGTCTAAATTAAACATAGAGGCTGTTGGCTGAATTTATAACATTTCAGTTGCTCATTAACAGAGCACTCTTTTGAAGCTGTTGATTAAAAGCTTTCTTCAGGGAATATTACAGTATTCTGTCTGCATGCAGTTCTCTTTTTTCTCGTAAGTATTTATGCAGTGAAATCAGTCTGTAAGTGCCAGACATCCCACTACCTGACAGCTGAGAGCTTTTATCAGAAAGATAAATGGAAGGAGTTTGGATAGCTCATAACAACAATTTTTCAAGAATAACATGCCAAATAAATGATTCTGCCTGATGCAGTAACTCAACAGGAAATACTGTGGGTAAATTCATCTGATTTAGCTAAACAGATAGATTTTTTTCTTGCCCTTGAGCAGACTCACTGCAGATTAAGGATCAGTCCTTTTTTATTGCTTTTGTTTGCATTGTACACAAGTGTCATTTCCATCCTTCCCTCTGACTATAACCACATACAGGTTCCCTGTTTTAGAGCATTATTCTGATTTGATAGTGGATGAGTTTCCAAAATTCCAACATTTATTTCAACCTTTTTCTTATTTTAAGAAAGAATCACTTCAGACAATATTTTTCTCCAGAAAATAATTAGGAAGTCACCCGAGTCTCTGGTATGATCAGCTGAAACTAACACACTGAAAACTGAAATTAATGCAGTTACTGAAATTATTACAATTTGGCACCTGTTCAGGCATCCAGGGCAGCCACTATTCTTTGAATCTCTGATTCACTCCTCCTCTGTTCAGAATTCTTCAGGTAGCCATGCTGTGGGCATTTTTCAGCAATCTGTGGAAGGAAAGTAGATTTTCCATTACCCAAAAATGCTGCTAATGCTACTCATCACAGTTTATAATACAGTAAATATACACTTACATGCTATTGCAATATCCAGATAACTAAGTTTTCCCTTTCATTTCCTCTCTTAAAACCTGTTTTCTCACTCTTTAATTCCTATATTCTTATTAATGCTTTAGTTAGCCAACAGAAACTATCGACCATGTAGTTTTATACTGATAATAATACAGTGTGGTTACAGAGTTCCCTAAAACAGTCATTGATCCAGGGCAGGTTTTGTTTAGCTATCAAGCTCCTGTTGGGCTCTAACTGTGGAAACATCATATATGAACATTCTGCTTTACAACTCTATCCAACTTCCTGCTAGATTTCCCAGCCTGATTGATTTCCATCATGTTGTAGTCTCTCAGGGCTCATCACACTATTGCATGCTGGCCAATGTGTGTCCCAAAACTCATCTCTCTGTGCTCTAGAGCCTCCCTTGTGCTCGTGTACAAAAGTTGCATCACTCACACCTCAGCTGCATGAAACCACTCCGTGCTCTTCCAACAGGCAGTGGAGGGAAGCAGGCGCCTCAACTTTTGGGTTATCCTTTGTACTCTGGACACCTCTCTTAGGGTGGTTACCTAGAAATGTCTCCTCATGGTGCCTCCCTCCCCCAGTGACTGTAGCAGAGTGAATTTCTAGTTCAGCAGACTCAAACACCCAACTTCCAGGCACCTACCCTCAGGCAAAGCAAACCTTATCCTGAACTTCAGGCTAGGAGCTCATTGCATGTGTCTAAATATCCCTTATCTAAATATCAGATCCATATATTTTAATATATTAGAGGATATTATACAGATTATAAATGCATTTTCTCAAGGGCACAACAAGTTGAACATATATTTAGTAAGGACCTACAGCATTTTCATGCAAGAAAGAGGCTGGAAATTTTGCAGCATCTTTAAGGAGTTTTAAATACTGAGTGCTTGCCATTAATTAAATATAAATACAGTAATAACTTGAGTATTCTTTAAGTTATTTATTTTATATTACAAAAAGTTTATTTTTTTATGCATGCACATATTCAAAGTTCAAGACTGTGTAGTAACTGGATCTTGTGCTGATTTTAGCGTGATGAACAACCACAATGTAGAAGTTATCACAGGAAAAGCTAGGAGTGTTGACAGATGGTTTGGAAAGAGAAAGTTGGGGATTTTATAAACTGAGAAGCTGTCAGGAGTTTGGAAATGGGAAATATCATTGGTCAGATATTTCTGCTCACATAGGAGGCTAACTTCTTAGAGCTGATACTCAAACTTTTAAATTTCAGGTTAATACTCTGATTGCACTGAGTTTAGTCATGCATTTCATAAATATCCTTTTTTCAGACTGATTTCAGATTCACTGGCTTTTTTTAGAGTCCTGTGAAGGAAAAAAAATTCTGAAGTTTCTTAAACCCACTGTGCTCTATGTCCCAGATTGATGCCTTTCTCAAATCCTATTATAGCCCAGAATGGCAGACTACCATTTTTTTATGGGAGACAGCTGCTTTTGCTAGTCATTTTCTTCCCTGCCACTTTTCTACACTTTTCTTCTGACTTCCAGATTTTTGGCAGCCAGAGCAGTGCAGTAATTCCAAAAAAGCTTCCAAACATCTACTGAACCCAGACAGTGTGCATGCACAGGTTTTCTCTGTAGCTGATGTGCACTGTGATGCTTTTCCCTCACAAAAGCCATGCAACTCAAGGCTTGTATGCTCAGAAAATCACCAGGTTTGCAGGGTGAGAATTTAAGTGCATGTGTGTTAATAAGTTGCTTTGTAAACAAGCTGTCCATTTGCGATGTCCAGAAGACAAACAATTTGACACAAACACATAGACACCTTAAATACATGTGCTTCCACATTTGCCTTTGAACTTCAGATGCTGATTGTGAGGCATGAGAGTACCTGTGTGTGCCTCTGAAATAGATTTTTTTTTTTATTTGGAGATTGCATTTAAGTATGTAAGAACTGGATTAATATGAGAGGCTTAAGAGATCCACCTAAGAGGCATTTTCAAACACGACATGGTCTTCATAGCAGATGAGCTATGTCACAGGAAATAAGGTCTGGAATAGGAATCCAAGTCATTACTACTAAGCAGATCCAGCAGAATGAGGGGATGGGCAGTTCCTCTCTAGCTGATTGCAGTCACTACATTGATAGTAATGCATTGGGGTTGCACTAATTCAAGCATTGGCCATAATCTCGTGTGTTTCTGACTCTGCCTATCAGTCATCCTGCTGCTCTATTAATGCTGGCAGATCTACTTTTGTATTATGTAATGGATTTATTTTATCCTGAAACATTCTTCCCGATAAAAAATAAACCCAGAAAGCTTCAGAACTTGCTTCCAGCTGCACAGTGCACAAATTTCACAGCTATTCCTTTTGTCTTTTCCACCTTCTTTTAGCCATGTGATAAACCTGTATTTTCCAGTCTTGGCTTTCTAGCAGTGAAATTATCTCCTTCTCAATCTTTTCTTTTAGAATTATAAGTAAAGCATTAGGAGTAATTTTTAGTATATTTATACATACAATTTGGTCATAAAGGTTTTACTAAAAAATTCTAAACACCCCAGATCTTCTTGGAACTCTTCTGTTCCACTATTTTTCCACAGTAGCCTGTGGAAAACTAAATGAAAAAATGTGGCATTCTGATTTTTATTTCATCCATTTAAAGTACTCATGCATTTCTCAGAAATTTATGGATTGACCCTCTCTGTGTCTACATAAAATCTACCCCAGAGAGGTTGTGGACTCCCCATCCCTGTATATTTGTATGATCAGGCTGGATGGGACTCTGAGCAACCTGATCTAGTGTGTACCCACCCATGGCAGGAGGGCTGGACCCAGATCATCTTTAGGGTCCCTTCCAACCCAAACCATTCTATGATTTCTCCCCCAGTCATGTATATTTCAATAAAGACAACACATCTACACAGTCTACATTAAAGTACTAGGAAATATGTGCATAGTTGAGATTTGCTATCTGATCTTTACAGCCATAGACTCTAAAGTCCCAAATCAAAGTTCAGCAGTCAATGAGACCTTCAACTTAATTCAAAGTAGTTCCCTTTGAATAGATTACTTGACTTGCATATAATGGTGGCTGACAATGAGAACATGGAATGGAATATTTTAGTTGGAAGGGACCAACAATGCCATGCAGTCCAACTGCCTGACCCATTCAGGGCTGACTGAAAGTTTAGGTGTTGTTAAAGTGAAGGGAGATGACCCACCTTTGTTGGTCAGCATCTGACTCCAATTTATTGATCAACCAGGCACCTTTTATAACAGTGTTAATTCACTTCATGCATATTGCAAAATCTGAGCTCCTGATAGGCTGTAGAGAAAACTTCAGCTCCTCCTTTTGTTTACAATACCTGAAGTTTGTTTATTGAAACCAAGATCAGTGTTCTCACCATGATATGAAAAGTTCTCAAAACCTTTATATCTGTTCCCAGAACAGCCATCTGTTCCCAGAGCAGCCAAGGACAGGATATCTGCCTGTTTTTGAGAAAACGGTCTGAGAATCTTGTTGTTTATATAAAAGGTGGCTGAGAACCTTAATTATTTACAGAATCAAGCCTGGGAACTGCTGCTTTACAGCTGCTTTTTATTTTTCCCTTAGCTGAGTACCTTCATGGCCTCTTTCTTTAAGCCATGTTTGAACTAGGCTCTTCACAAGGTGTGTTGTTAAATTTCCCTCAAACACTGTCAGGCCTGGGGACTGACCACCTCTCTAGGAGGCCTGTTCCAGCATTTGCCCACCCTCTGGGTATAAAAGTGTTTCCTAATGTCTCTTTTTTTATCTCCTTGCTTTGACTTCTGCAAATGTTTGTGTAGGATGGCTTGCTTTCATTTTTAAGTTGGAGAACAGAGTAATACTTCCAGGTAGAAAAGGGAAACAACAGATAAAGACAACTTAGATAAATTAAATGTTCTAAATTGTGTCAGCCTGCTATAACCTGTAACAATTCTCTACTAGTACTCTATTAAGAAAGCAAATGCTTCATTTGCCTTCTAAATAAGGAACACATAAATTAAACAAGAAAGGAATTGGCAAACATAACAATGGAAAAAAGGGAGAATCCAAAACTCAGGAATTCAGGAAAGGTAGTTATTTGCCTTTTTACAACTACTACTACAACTCCTTTACTACCAGTAACAACAACAATAGTAGTAACAACAACAACAGTAATAATAGGTATTCCTAACATCTACACAATAGCCAAGAGGAAATCATCAAGAAAATGGAGCCAGACTCAGATTACTGTATGATGAGAGAGTGACAAGTAATAGCATAAATTGAAATGTGAGAAGTTCAAGCTAGATTCAAGGGAAAACATTTTCACCATGTGTCAGTCAAACTGTGGAACTGGTTGTCCATAGAGCTTGTGAACCTTGCTCTTGCAGGTTTTCAAAATCCAACAGGATCGAGTCTGACCTGAACTCATAGCTGACCCTGCTTTCAGCAGAGGGTTGGACGAGGAACTTCCTGTGATCCCCTGCAAATTAAATTATCCTGCAATCCTGTGGTGATAAATAAGAGATAATGTGGTTTTACCAGAAAACAACCTACTAAAAGCAGCATTCTGTAAAAAAACCTCAACAAAAAATAAAGAAACGTTGTGATTTCTCTCCAATGAAGAAACCACAGTAGAACCATGTAATTTTCAGAAGTATAGAAAATGTGAACACATGAAGTAAGATTGAAAGAATTCATTTATTTAGTCTAGCAATGAGAGGATTGAAGGAAGATATATCAATTCTCAAATATGTAGAAAGTATTGGAGAGATACAAAGTGTTTTTCATGTCCATTGATATGGTAAGAAGTAAAAGCCTTAAATTGCAACTTGAAGATTTTGGTTGTATTTTACAAAAAGCTTTTGAACTGTAAAAAATGTCACACAGTAGCTGACTGGAGAGATCTGAAGAATCAGCATAACTGCAAATTTTCAAG